TTAAAATTTCTTCATGTTGCAGGCTATGGTGCTCAAGCTGGCGGATATGGTGGACAAGGAACCAAAGGTAATGGTGTTTCAGATCACATTTAGGGTTTGGATAGAGATGGTGATGCAGGAGATTTCTAATACTGATGTTTTATACGTGTTTAAAATGAAGTCATACGATAGTGATTTTCATTCTGAAAAGTAATTTCAGGTCAACATGTTCACTGAAGCAGAGTTCAGATATACTTTGTCATAATTAAACTACAGTTATATGACCACTTGATAGCCGTGGAAGCTATGGGATCATTTGAGAAATATTGTATACCACATTTTAACTCTCACAGACTTTCTGATCTCTAGGTTATGGAGCTGCTGTTGCTGCAAATGGTCATTTGAATGTTAAGTTTGTCATATGGCAGTCTTGCTGTATGGATGTTTCATTAATGCTAGAAATGTGTTCAAACTGTTTGCGGTCATTTTAGTGCTGGGCCACATTTTGAAAAACTGCAGCAACCCGAATGGGTCTCGTGGTGTTTCACTTTTTGGCTTTTAGGTTATGGTGCTACAGCTGGTGTTCTGGGTGGGTACGGCGCTAAACCGAATGGTGAGTGAACCTCTGTCACTTCATGTAGCTTTCAGAATACAATATAAAATCCTCCCGCTACACATTGGCCTGGTTTGATGGTACATTTCAGACATGTTCTCAAATGTACGCCAGCAGATTTCTCGGGTAACGGCGCCGATCTGCTCCATGTGCCCAGAATGTAATGAGAGAACATTCAACATGTGCAGCTAAAGAATGAAATGGTTTGCCTGCTGATCTTGGACTTGCTCTGGACTTGCACCGTTTTATTTATTTATTTTTTAAGCAAACTAGACTGTTTTGTTTATTGGTAGTAGTAGTAGTAGTAGAGATGATAGATATGGGAAAACATTTTTGTGGTGATGTGTCTGTTTGTAGGTATTGGAGCTGCAGCTGGATTTGGAACAAAAGGCAATGGTAGGGTAGTTCACAGCATTATTTGTGTATTACATCTGTCTGCAGTAAAAACATGCACAATATTACAGTGTGTTCCCAGAAATCCTCTGTTTGCTAGACTATGGTTCTAATTTTGGTGAACCTAATGGAAATGGGGTTAATGCCATTGGTCAAGTCTGCAAAAACAAAGCTTTAAAACACATTTACCTAAATAAATGTAAATATTTAGGTGAAGGAGCTGCAGCTGGCCCATCTAGTGGAAAAGGAGCAATACCAAATGGTGAGACAAGTAAAGTGGTTACATGGGAATGGGCGGTATGATACTTTCTCAGACACAAAACACGGTTCTGTTTGTTTATTTGGTAACTCAAGCAAGTGTCTGTATCGAACAGGCCAGAGAGGAGCTGGAAGTAAACCCATAAAGGGATATGGCCGACTGCTTTATGGCGCAGGTAATCAGTCCTCTGCTACCTTTTTGTCCAGGAGATCAGACCAATCTGACACAACATGTACGCATTTTATTTCTTCATTGAAAGGTCTAGGTGTGGGAGCGGGAGCCTCCAGAAGTCTGGGAGTACCTCAGCTCACCAGGAACCAAGGGAAAGGTGGGTGAAGGTCATGAGACAATACTGAGGTCACCACCTAATACAGTACATTGCTTATAATGTCTGTATCTGTTCTTCCAGCATATAACAGTAATGGGTATAATGGTTACAGAGCTCAACCCATGGGAGGTGAGTCATAAAGTCAATCTGTGATGTAATATAATGGATGCGATGATTAATAAAATAAACATTTATGTGTATTTTGTGTATATATAGTTTACAATGGTTATGGCAGTGCTGGTTTGGCTCTAGGACCTTGGTATGGAAAAGGAGGAATGAAGGGACTGAAGCAAGGTGGGACTATCCTTACTGTCAAGTGGGAAAAAAAAAAAAATCTGCTTTAGTTATTTATTTTTAATGTTTCTAGATTACATGGTCCTTGATACAGTTGAGTGCAATTTACTGAACTCATCTGATAACATTTCAGGCTACAGTGCTACAGGAGGTGTGCCCAGTGGTCAAGGTGCCAAACATAATGGTAAATGTGTTGCATAAAGTAAAAAAAAAACAAACAAAAAAAAAAACGTCAGACATCTATTAAAATCTGAAATGATGGGTTTATCAAATGTAAAGGTTATGCTGGATCCAGAGGTGCTACTGGAAATGGAGCCTTGCCAAATGGTGGGTCAGTGTGCAAGACATTTAAGTTCTTCTGATTTCTCTTCTTCTGTTGTTGTTGTTGTTGCAGCAGTACAATGTTACCGTTATTGCTGTTTGTGAAACTATTAAGGTTATGGACACCCCAGAGGTGGAGCTACTAAGCCAACAAAGCCAGGTAAATATGTAGCCACAATTTGTGGAACTAAGAGTACTATGTTTCTAGGTCTTTTACAAGGATCTTCGCCAGGTGAACAAGGAATATGCATTTTTAGAAATATTTAAAGCAGTATCCATCTCTTGCACTAAGTTGTTCCATACTTTTAAAAAACCTTTTGAGAGAATGGCTGAAAGCGCTCAGATGGGGAAAAAAACAGTAACACAAAGTATTAAATTTTGTACTGATATATGGCAATATTGCAAATGGGTATGGCACCGAGCTGAAACCAACAGTAAGACTGTCATTTCTTTTTCAAATCGTTTTATGATTATTTTGATCTCAATCTGATTATAAATTTTCTTTCATGAATGCGTAGAAGGATATGGCGCTATCAGAGGGGGTGCAGTGAGATCCCAGCCAGGTACTACCTGTATTTTAAACATGTCGTACATAAGTCCAAACACAATGACAATTTCCAACATGTCATAGAATCTTTTTTTTTACCTCTAGGTTATGGAAATGGAGCTGTTGATAATGGATATGGAATTAAACCCAGTGGTAACTGATCTTATTTAATATTACAAGTGTTCATTTATTGTGGTGGTATATTTATGTATTAATATGCTTGACCCAAGGTTATGCAGCAGCAGCTGGAGCTGGTGTTCCCAAATGATACACAGTGAAACCTTATGGTAACACTGCTAATATGCTGCACTTTTATATACAGTGATACATGATTTATTACTGTTAAATATGAAGGATTTTAAATGCCTACATTTTAAGCAAAAACAAATGAACTGAAATAAATGCATATTGTTATATGTATTTCTTTTTCATGGATGTATTTACTGTCATAACATTTTTTTTAAATGTGTTAAAAGGACAGTTTAGTTTTGCATCTTTAACAACTGATTCCACCCCCAAGCTGTCATGGGAGAGTTGATTACTTTTCATTTTGTCATTGTGCGTCCATTTCAAAAAAGAAAGTCTCCCTCTGCACTTCCTCATGAAAACTTGGCAGGTTTTGTTATAATTTAAAATTTCCATCATTACCAGCCTCGTCTCGTTCATGTTATATTTTCTCTCAAGGTTATGGAGTCAGAAGTGGTGCTGCAGTGGGTGGATATGGAGGTACACTCAATGGTGAGTTCCACTATCCAAGTTCAAATTTAGTGTTGAAATCCAAGAGGATTTATTAATAACCTCTAAATGTGGTTTATCAAGTAAATTATCTGAGGCTATTGTGGTGGCTGATTTATCTACACCCTAAAACAGTGTCATTGTAGTTACATTGTGAAATTTATTCCTAATTTATTTTTTAGGATATGGAGCAGTCAAAGGCTTAAAACCTCAAGCTACAAAAGGAGCTGGAGCAGTGTCACCCAGTGAAGGTGCTAAGCAACTCTGCACTGGAATAATTTACATAACACATCTGGTGGTGTTGCTATCCCAATTGAAAAGATGCATGCAAACTTTGGATCATATTTCTGTGTTATGACTACGTTCTGTTTCACAGGCTACGGTGGTGCTGCTAGTGTACGTAATGGACACTTGACTAAGGCAGCCAATTCTGGTAATTGCTCTGTGCATAACACATCTGTTGTTAATTGTAGTTGCTATATAGTTGATCTAACAAGTTGCTTGTTTTAACCTACTAACATTGTGACACTTGTTGTGTAAACAGGTAATTTTTTTGTTTTAACTTTTACTGTACTTTGAAGTGTTTTCAAATGTTTCCATCAAATTTTGGTTTTCTTTGTATGTATTTACATATTTCTGTTTGGTTCTCAGGTTACGGCATGGGACCATTCAATGGAAGGGCTCTTAAAGGAGGTGTTCTCTCTCTTGGGCAGCCTAATATTGCACCAGAGAAGGGTGCTGCACCTCAGCAAACATTAACTCAAGGTGCATCATCTGTTGCCCCTGAGCTGACTGGTAGTATCCCTGTCATGGTGCCACAGGACAAATACCAGAAGCTGCTTTCACCTGTTCCACAAGGAAAAAGCTACAAACAGATACTCATAATCCCTCAGGCTACATCAAAACCAGCGCTTCTTCAAACCTTATCTGGACCTGCACTGGTGGTTCCTGAGGGTAACCCAACACCAGAACCAGCAGCGGCACATTCTCAAGGCAAGTACCATAATCCTGAAACTGTACGGTTCTACTGTAGCAGGAGAAAAGAAACTGGAGAACACCAGAGGCTCCAAAATTTGTGAAATTGCTGGTTATAACAAATGATAATACCAGCAGAGTTTTGTTTGTTTGTTTCCTTTGTCATATTTAAATAATCAATGTGCCACTTTTAAAACAGTGTTTTGGGAAATACACCTATTTGCTTTCTTGCTGGGAGTGAGATACTATTATACCACTCAAAGACTGAAAGCAAGGGGAAACAGTCTTGCCTGTAAAACCAAACCTTGTTCTTTTTACATTTTTTGTGTACAGATTAAACAGTCTGCTGTATATTGTGTAAATTAATGAGCTTTAGAGGCAACGGTAGTCAGTTTGTTACTGCTGAATAGAGTAAGGCTCTCCTGGTTTCCAGTCTCTCTGTTACAGATTTAGCCTACAGATTTATCATACACAAACAAGCGGTCTCAGTCTTCTCATCTCGCTCTTAAATAAGCACATTTCACAGAATAGTGAACTATTGTTGACATGCTGGGAAATACACAACTATGTTGTTGATTTACAATATGGCATAAGACTAGAAGTGTAATGTGTTACATTGTTATGTGGTTCTTTAGATATTGCTTTATTGTACATTTTGTTCATCTTAATCCACTAGATGCTTTCAGCTGAATGATAATTTTAACCCACAGACTCAAGATTACATTCTTGATTAATGATGCAATTGTAAAACCATTTATATGTGGATGACTGTCAACTAAGCCCTGATCTGTCTGCCTGTGCTGCTGTCTTAGAGAACACAGGAGGAGTATCTATCTCCAAAGAAAAGGAACCTAAACCAGCCAAACCTGGTAAATGTTTTTCTGCTTTTTTGGAATAATGTGCAGCATAGTGAGCTAAAGTCAGGCCCTACTTCCAGGTTAGCCCCTTGTACACCTTTGTTAGGCAGAATAATATTGTAATGCTTTATTACATTACTTCCTAATATGATTTTAGACCCTTGTCATTTTAACAAGAATAAATTTGTCATCTCCTGTGCAGTTTGAGCCAATGAGACTAATATTACAGTAACACACAGATTGCTTGGAAGCATGTACGTATGTATTTGTTTGTTTTGCCTTGAATGGTGCAGTTGTGCTTCTAATATGTGTGGATGGTTATTCTAGACTGCGGACCATCAGGAGTACCAAACGGACAATGGATGAAGATATCTCCACCCAGTAAGCTGAATATTACATTTTAATACCTGGTGATGTGTATGACTTTCAGTGGCCATGTGCCACAATTACTGATGTGTGTGCATGCCATGTTTTTACTTGTACCACTTGTACTATGCATTTTAAATGGATCCAGTGAAATGCTGAAGGGAGATAAAACTTAACTTTAACCTACCGATAGTCAGAAGCACATATACTTTTTACATTAGCTTGGCCTTGAAAGTCAACAAGATAACTCAAGTGTACACTTTTTCTCATTGTCATTTAGGCTACAGTACAGGTGAAGTTTTCTCTTTGTCATTTAGGCTACAGTACAGGTGAAGCATCTGCGAGCACAAACATGTACTTGTACACTAGTGACTGAGTTCATGCCATAACACTATATTATGCCTAGATACAACATCTCTTGTTTATTTATGGTTCTTTATAATTTTTTACATTTGTTTTGAGGTTACGGAGCAGGAGCTGGTGTTTTGAACAGATATGGTGCTCAACCCAGTGGTAAATCTGCTTTCTTTCTCATTCTCAATATTTATGTGTATGACATGGAAATTTGATAGTAGATGATGTCATCCCTTAGATGTCATCTGTTTATGACTCTTGAGATGAGTCCAAGCACCAAGGCTTGAAATCCACACAGTAAAAATCATAATATTTTAGGAATGTCATTGAGATTTGTCAATAATCTGGTAATTGGTCATTAATATAACTGTATTTTGACCATACTTCTAAGACCTTATTTGTCTTAATGAAGTTATGTTTATCCAAAGGTTATGGAGCGGGAGGCTACGCTGTTCCTGGACTCAGCACTGGATATGGAGCTGGTAATATTTTCTATCAGTGTAAACAAACTAATTTGGTATTTTCTTGACTTCTAAGGAAATTTAGGTGTGATTCTTAAAGTACCAGTGGCTGTATGTGTGCAGGCCTTGGATATCCTTATGCAGGGAAACCCAAGCAGGCTGTGTTGTTCTTGTTGTGGTTGTTCTTGTTGTGGTTGTTGTTGTTGTGGTTGTTGTTGTTGTTGTCCCTCTCAAATGAAAGCAATTCTGCTTGTTAGAGCATTGAGATACACTCATCTGCCCTTTTATTAGGCATAACTGTACAATTGTATGCACTTCAATGCAACACTTCACCTTAACATCAGAATATTAGGAACACCTCTGAATATATTGCAGTCCAGTACAACACCACCTTTAACTATGACCTCAGTAATAAACTTAGTTGAATTTATATATTTATTACACTTTCACCAGAAACTGAAACATTTTGAGCTTCATAGCCACAGATGTTAAGGTGGACGTTTTGTACTGAATTATATAAAATTGTACAGGTGTACCTAATAAAGTGGCCGATGAGTGTAGTTACAATTAGAAGTGTGATATGCTTTCAGGTTATGGACAAGGACTATACCCTGCAGCTGGAAATGGAAATTCATTCAGAGGTGCATTTTTTTAAAGGATAAGTTTAAAGAAGTATTTTAAACTGTTATGCTTGAAGTATTTATAAACTAAGGTTGAATTTACATCTCCCTAAGAGAGTTTTGCTGAAAATTTGCCAATTTTCTCAGAAAATGCTGGTGTGGGTGAGGCAGGCAAACCTAAATCAGGCATGCATCAAGCCTTACTTTAATTCTGTTAAAGTACTGAAATTAAAAATGGTATAACACACCATAGGCCTATGAATTGATAAGTGATATCCTCCATAGATTTGACTGTTATTTACATGTAGCTCACCCTCAGTCTGTTCATTTCAATGCAATGAGCATAGTATGATGTCTTTTTCGCAGAGTATGAAAATGGTTATGGTGGTAGTATTATATGCATTTTAGTTTAGAAAATCTGTTTTGTAACCATTTCATATTGTGTGAATTACAGTAAAAGTCAACATTTCCTTTTTTCAGGTCTTCATCAAGCTGTACCCGCAGCTGATGGCAAATCAGGTATGATACATGTGGAAAGGAAGGATTTGGTTCAAGATAAATCTAAGACAAGGGTGAAATAAACTACAGCTACAATACTATCATGGAAAAACACACAATGACTCATTTCTGTGTAATTTACGGCTGATTCTACAGGTGGTGCCAGACACATTCCTTACAATGGAGCCCCAGTTGTTCCTGCTGGACTAGATGGCAAGACCATACACATCACATACTGTAACAATCCAATTAAAACATGTGTGTGTGTGTGTGTGTTGTAGGATTTCAACAGTGCACAAATAAATTCATAGTGTAATCTACAAAAAAAACGTATTGATACTGGGTTAGTGTCTGTCTGGTGTGCTGTTCCTCGAGCAGCACTGAATCATGTCAATCTATTTTTATACATCTACAGCAGTGAGTACATTTTTAACTCAAGGACTTTATAACTCATGTACATTTTGTTGTCGTACCATCTCACAACTTTACTCTAATTGTATTACCACACTAAAACTTTGAGTTAAAAAAACTCTCGCTCTTAAGAGAACCTTGCGTACAATTTCCTCTCAAAAGAAAAAGAAATGATAAACACACCTGTATAGCATAACATTACCTGTAGAAACATTTATTTAATGCCGCACACTTGAACCAAAGGTTTTTTTTTTTTTTTTAATTTTTCTTCATTACAGTAATGGGCAGCTTACCTACTGGTGATCAGACACTTGGAATGGGTGCAGAGAAATCAAACACAAATTATGGTGAGTTCTTGTTGCTTGTATTTTCTCACAGCACAGTAATGCTTCACCTTGATGTACAGACCTGTCACAGAGATCCTAACCTCTTAAAATCAAGTTTATGTCTCATTATACATGTGCCAATTGGTACTGTTCCCTGCTCATTCTGTAACAGGCATTGGTGGATTTCCGTTTGGTGGGCAGCCCCTCAGTGCAGGAAAGTATGGTCATTATTAGTTCATGTTGTGGATCAATGCATGTTGAATGCGTCAACAACGGTGTCTGCCTGTATACACTCTGGTCCATTAAGAATACGTAAATAATTCCTCTGGAAATACTGAGAACATATTTTTGTTTGTCCAAAGCGGGGACCAAACTGCTGATCCTAGCATGTTGCAGATCTGTATCCTGAGCTACAAAGATCTTATGTCTAACTTAAGATATTAATAATATCAACTCAAAATTCTTGCAGGTGGTCTTGGTGTTGGCATGGGCTGGGATCCTGCACCTAGAAAATATGATTAGTATGACAGGACAAAAAACATACACCTTTGAGTGTGTACAGACATGCGCGAGCCACTGTATTAAGCATTTATACATTTTTAATTTCATTTGATTTATTTCTTTTTTTTTTCGTCCAGGTCTGGCTGTGTCACCATATCAGCTTGAATATCTTGGACTTGGACATAAAGGAAGATTGATAGGCAAGTGTGATGAGATTCAGCTAATGTGATGGCTACCTTCTACATGTGGTGTCTTCATATTTTTGGTGTAACGTGTCATTTCTGTTTGCCCACTGCTAACGTGGCAGTGAAGTTCCTTATGCAAAACACTGGTTTGGGGGATGAAGCAAAATATTCAGTAAAATATGGTGGTTTTCTTTTTTCATCATACCAATCATCTTTGCCCACTAACTTTTTTTTTTATTATTTAAATGGTTCGATCTCTTGGATAATAAAGGAGTGTACCAGTCGCAGCCTCTCAAATCTGCATCTGAAAGTGGATCTGGGATAGCATTGTATCATTGTTGGTGAGAAATCAGGTTAGAAATATACAAACTTACTGTAGATTTTCCTTTATCACCTTAAACAGATACAGCTGGTTCACCTTATGAGGCCCTGCCTCTTGAGA